TTTACGCCCCCCAATAAAACCCCGTCGTCGTCCCCTCACTTTATTTTTTCTTTAAGGAGAGTACTATCTATCCCCCCCCAATCCAATCAATTTATGAGGCAAAAATACAGCCCCCCCCTCCCCAACAACACACCATTATACTCTCCCCCCCTCCCCTCAGAAGTAGTAGTGCTGGGACCAAGGCCAAGTTTCGTGTGAGGAGGGAACAGTCGCGAGCCCCGAAACGGTACTAACACTGGCGGTGAGGCGAGAGAGCGCAAGGTCCTCCTCTCCTCGCGGCTCCTGCTCCCCCGGCCGCTGCCGCCGCCTTCGCCCCCTTCGCTAACCGCCGCAGCGCGGGCCACGCAGGCGCCTCCGCGAGCGCTCCTTCCGCCCGTCCTCGCCTCCTCCTCCGCCGGCCACCGAACACCGAGAGCGAGCGAGCGGGCGAGAGGTAGTGAGGGAGGCTTAAAATGGCGCCGCTCGCCAGGAGCTTCTTATAAGCGAGGGCGGCGGGCGCGCTCGCATGGTATCCTGCCGCCGACGCCGCGCGCAGCATTCCACACGCAGGCGAAACCCACCCAGCAGCAGCAGCGCGCGCGCGCAAGGGGCAGGGAAAGGGAGGGAGGGAGGAGAAATAGTGCCCGGCCGGCTTCCCCTCAGCCAGCGCGCGCACTCACACATACATATACACACACACAGAGCGCGGCGGCGGAGGGAGACGAGCGAAGTCGCTGGAGAAGAGAAGGGGCTGCTAGGCAAAACGGCCTAGCGGAGCCTCGGGAAGGATGAGGGATTGTGGGAGCTCGGGGGGAGGGGCTGGGGAGGGACGAGGCAGGACGGGTGCAGGGATCCGGCGAGGTGTGATGAGGCCCTCGAGGAGGAGGAAGGGGGGGTGCAGAAAGAGAGGCACCCTCTCCCTCCCCCCCTCCTCTGATCTTGGAGAGGGTAGGAATGAGGCGCGTTCCCGCAGCCTGGGAGAGAAGTTGCTGCTTTTTCGGGGGGGGGGAGCTGCCTGCAGGCTGTTTCCCCCCCCCGACACAAACCCCTTGCAAACGTAGCATGCAAGCTTCCCCCCTCCTCTCCATTGCAAATACTTTTGAGTGCGGGGGGAACGTTATTCCCCCCCCCCATATTTGCATCCAGCGAAAGTGACTTTAAATGCACCCCCTTGGTTATCCAGACCGGCCCGATCCGTGGGAATCAAGAATTCTTCTGCTCCGGGCTTCTAGTGTCGCGTCAACTTACAGCTCGCTTTCTCCCTTCCCGAAGGAAGCCTGGTCTGCAGAGCCGGGATCCTGGGGCTCGGCGCCGGGCTGGGAATTGTCCTCCTCCTCCGGCTGCTGCTCTGGCTTCCCTTCCCTTCCCCTCCCCGTAGCAGCAGCAGCAGCAGCAGCCACTCCTTAAAACTTCAAGTTACTACGACGGAGGGCCGGGGAGGAGATTGTGGGGACGGGCGGAGGCAGGGCGAAGAGCCTGCTCTGCAGTTCTTCTCCAAACAAATGCGCCGCGGAGATGTGGGCCAAAGCAAACACCCCACTTTCTCCCCCCACCCCCCGTGGTTTCTGGTGAGCGAAAACAAGCCCGAGGAGCTTCGAAGACAGTACCTGGAAGTGCCTCGACGGTGCAAAAGCAACCCTATAGGGTGGTGTGTGTGTGTCCCCACACAAGTCGCCTAGGCTTGCCAAAGTATATTTCCCCTATGCCAAATTTCCCCTAGCAATATAGATGCTCCCACGTTTTAGGTCCGGTGGCTGCGATCCCTTGCACGCTTTCCTGGGATCAAAGCTTGCTTTCCAAGGTAACGTGCAGAGGGTGGCACTCCCCGCCCCACCGATGACTGCGGGGTGTTTTGTGTTGCACCCACAACCACTTGCTAACTGGCGGGGGCCGTGATTTTGTCTTAGCGAGTTGTCCCATCTTAGTTTCCTTTCTAGGCTGCGCTGAATATTAATATGGGCGAGTTCTTAATAGCCTTAACTGATCAGACACACGCCTATTAATCGAAGCACTCGGCTGCTTTTTTGCCTCCTCCAAACTCCTTTCCCAACTCGGATCTGCGTCGATGTTGCAAACATCGGGACGCCCTCACGCTCACAAATGTTGCGCATCAACTCACAAAACATCTCGACTTGGCCGGGCGAGAGACTCGACTTGCTCCGGCACAATCCTGAATAAGACCCGACGTGAATAGCTGACGACGGAGCCGAAGTGACTCCGAAACGTGGAGGAGGAGCGATTAGGTCTGCCTGGAAATTTGGGCAGGTTTCAGTAAACGATGCGGGACGATCCCCATGTGGACTTTGGGAGGCAGGAAGAGTCTAGAAAGGCAGCCCCTTCCTTCAGCCTGTCCTCTTCTAACCGCAAGCTACCTACCCTGCCGGCAGCTGAGGAATCGGAGCACCCAAACCAGCCTGGCTTTTCGCGAGCTTTTGTTTCTGCCTTCGCTCCGCCTCTTCTCCATCTTCGCAGAACTGGGAGGAGGAGTCCCAGGCTGGCGTCCCCTCCAAAGGCCACGTGGGGAAAGACCTCCCCACCGACCTCATCGGGTGATGAGACTTTGCAGGAATTTTTTTTTTTTTGGGGGGTGTGACCTAAATCCCCCAAAATTTATTGATCCCTAACTGCCATCATTTTCCCGGTAGTGATGTATGGAAGTGAGAGCTGGACCATAAAGAAGGCTGATCGCCAAAGAATTGATGCCTTTGAATTATGGTGCTGGAGGAGACTCTTGAGAGTCCCATGGACTGCAAGAAGATCAAACCTATCCATTCTGAAGGAAATCAGCCCTGAGTGCTCACTGGAAGGACAGATCCTGAAGCTGAGGCTCCAGTACTTTGGCCACCTCATGAGAAGAGAAGACTCCCTGGAAAAGACCCTGATGTTGGGAAAGATGGAGGGCACAAGGAGAAAGGAACGACAGAGGACGAGGTGGTTGGACAGTGTTCTCGAAGCTACAAACATGAGTTTGGCCAAGCTGCGGGAGGCAGTGGAAGACAGGAGTGCCTGGCGTGCTCTGGTCCATGGGGTCACGAAGAGTCGGACACGACTAAACGACTAAACAACAACAACAACTGCCATCATGCATACTACTTGGAAGGAATTTCCCACCCTCCCTGAATACGGGGGGCTTTCTTCTGAGAGTTAGCAGGCACCGCAGGGGTCATCTAGTCCAACCCCCTGAAATGCAGGAATCTTCCACCCTACCTGGGTTCAAACCCACGACCCTGAGATTAAGAGTCTCACGTTCTATCCACTGTCGTCCTGTGTGTCTTGGATGCTTACCTGGGAGTAAGTCCCGCCAAACTCAGCAGGAGCAATAAGCAAACTGGCTGCCCTGTGTATCTTGCCAGCTTCAATGGTTTGTGGGTTACCTGTAAGCTGCCAGAACTTTGTTCGTTTTGAGTACCTAACACAACATCTGTTCTTTATACTCAGGGTATTATGCAGCAAACTCTCCCAAGTCACTTCCTCCTTGAAGCTGTTCTCCCAGTAACTTGTTTAAGTATCGAAAACCAGCATCTTCCAAATCATAATTAATTCAAAGGTGAAAAAGTTCTAAACTTCTGGAAGCCCAATCCAAAATGTACAATGGTTTCAATGAAATGCATTGCTGAGGATTTGAAACTAGCGTGCTATGTTTTTTTAAAAAAAGAATGGGTAGCTCTTAATTATTAAGATATGAATGATCAATAATGTATTGTTAAATTAGTTTAAGAATCTGTTGCTACAGCTGGAAACTTTTGACACTGGGGGTAAGAAAATAACAAGATCCCATTATAAAGAATCTTGTTTTTCAGCTTATGAACGAAGATGGCCTGGGTGATTTCACCATGAAATGAAATCCTAAGAGGAGTATTTCAAGTGAGTTTTGCTGTTTGTATTCAAGCTATGAAGATTTCAGTGCCTGTGTCAAAACAAATCGCCTAACTGCATATATTTGACATGTGAGATGGTTAAAATGTAAATTATTAGAGAGAGGTACACAGTTTTTGATATTTTGTGATTTATAGCCCAATGCTAGACATGTTCAGAGGTAAGTCATAATGAGAAGTCCTCCTCAAATCATTTACTTTTGAGATGAGACTGTCTTGCTTTTGAGATACAGTGCCATAACCTTGATTAACATTTAAGAATCCATAACTAAAATATATATTTTTATTCCAGAGTAGCTGGGAGCATGAATATATCTACTCACTTAGACTAGATGGTTACCCTACAAGCTTTTACTCAGGAGTAAAAATCTTAGTTCAAAGTGCATACAAAGTTCTTAGCCCTGGGTTCAAAGCGTGGCACTGAATTGGCATAACACTATGTGGATTTAAAATTATCCCAGGATAACTGCTTAATTTAATGATTAAATTAGCGGCAGAAAAGTAAGGCATATGTATTTGTGTGTTTGTGCGCGCATTTGTAGACAGATAGATAAAAATAATGGCCAGTATCTCCCCCCACACACACCCCAAAAAAGCCCAGTGGTGCCTGAATTAAGGGGTGTGTTTTCTGTTTATTGGAGTCTGCAGCCATTATTTTAAAATAAGGAACATCTGATAATGCTGTGAGTACGGATCCTGTAAACATATACAACTTTATCCCCCAATTCTCTCCTTCCATTTGGATCAAAATGGTGTTGTGTGTAATTGTGAAGATGAATTTTTGGAATTGGGAATTGACTGTGGTCTCAAAGGCCGTTCTACCTGAGAAGCTGTTTTAACGCCAAGTGTAAACAGGCAAACAAACAGGTTTTGTCACTTTTAGGCCCTCTTTCGCCCCCAGCAAAATGGGGATAAGGGCACAGCATCTAGGCCCGTTCCCCCACAATGTGTGCAGAAAATCCGAAGTGTTGGGGGCTACAGGACACCCCCCTCGAGTCGTCTGCAAGTAATTCCACTGGGCATTTGATCACAACAGGAGAAATTGCCTGCTACCCTTGAAGCATTTCATGGTCCCCGTTACCTTTCAGAGCTTCTTTGTGTGTGCCATCCCACCCTCTGAGGTCTGAAGAGCTGGGGCTATTGAAGTCTGGGTATTGCTGCTGGAGCAGGAGGAATACTGTCTGTATCTCAGCCTCTGGTCCTGGAAACATGGCAGAGGGAGGAAGAATTGGGCACGATGCGAGTAGGTTTCTAAACTTTTATTTCAAATATACTTCAAGAGGCTTGTGAGTCCCCCCCCCCAATCCGCTTGTATATTTTAGCAATTCAATCTGCATCCTATTGCAGGCTCTTTAGGGCATATTTTTTGCATGTAGGCAATGTGCATATGAAATGTTTAGTTGGTTTCATTTACACTTTTTTTTGGGGGGGGAGAATTCTACTCGGGTATTTTGTGCTTTTTTAACTGTTTGTTTTCTAGAATCCAGGCTGACCAATTTTGGGCATAATGCTCTAAGTGGTGGTTATTAGACTAATGTCTAATAACTGTGTTTTATGATTGAATTGCTCAACTCCTCAATGCAATACAACTTATACCCAATGTAAGGCAATTTATTGTGGTTCTGTTGTTGTTAACAAGCGAGACTGGAGTTAATAGATGTACAGAGCTGTGTATAGAAATTAGCCACTGGTATTTTCAAGCAATGATCATAGTTTTGGAAGTTGCACTTTTTGAATCAGAGATGATGGTTTGAAAGTGTTGTTATGGTGACCCTGCAGAGATTTATCTTTCCCTACCAAAAACAGGGTTAAGCTACAGTCAGATATCATTATCATCTATCTGCAGAAATAAGAAATTATCATAATAAACAACTGGCTTTTGTAATTTGCTTAAAAATAAAAGCACTTTTCTTAGTTTGTTGGGCCGTTTTATTTGTTGAAATCCGCTTTAATGCAGCAAACAGATAAAATGCAGAAAGTTATGCTTAAGGTAATCATAATTGGCTCTTATTTACACTCAGAATATTAAATTCTAGCTATTCCTGATTCAGAAGCATACTGAAGAATTAAACAGTACAGTAGTGCCCCTGATGGAGCAAAACTACATTTAAAGAAACATCAAAACAGTGGGCCTCAGCCTTTGATGTGCAGCCTTGAAAGATACGTATAATTAACTTATAATATTGTGTATGCTAGGAACAGATTTCAGAATCATCCAAATACTTATTTTTTTCCTGAAACAGAACTTTATTTTGAATGCTACCTAACTGCAGAACAATACTCTCTTCAGTATACAAAATCTTTTCACACTTGCAAAAGTAAAATTGTTACATAGATGGCATACTCTAGCTTCTCTGATGGGATAAAGTTAGAAATGAATACAAAAGAGGAATATCTCGCATTTCTGTATTATGCTTCCACCTTACGAGTAATAAGTGCAGTGTCACCTTTGCAGTTGATAAATATATTTGACGTTTGCCACAGTAGGTGAGTAATTATTCTGGCCAAACCTTAGATTTATAAATATTACCACTAGGAGCAGCTTTTGTTTAGGTTTTTGGGTTGCTGTTTTTAGCTCATGTTATACATAATGACGATATTCTTTAAGTGTTACTTAAGAAGCATACATAAACATTATATTTAAAACACACATGCATTTTCATGTACACGTGTACAATGCAAATATACCCGCGTACCTTGTTTTGTGACTGTTGGCGATCCCAGCCGAATTTTGCAAATGTCTGAAAATTAGAAACACGTAATACCCCCAGAAAGAGCGAAAATAGGTATTTAATTTAATTTTTTTGGACAGTCACCAATTTCATCTTGGATTGTCAGTGTTCGAGTGTGAAAGTTGACATTCGCCAAACTTGTTACAGTGAACACCCAAAAATCTGATTATAATTTATTGTTTATTTTAAATACTAGTGGTAAGAATCACTAACCATTGCTAGAGGATATTTTTTTGGGGGGGGAAATAGATTCATAAATTAAAAATTTTGAGCATGAACGTTCCTCCCCTCAAAGGTAAGTACAACATAGGACTAGTTACCATCCTTCTTTCAATTTATATAGGTACCCTAGCCATTATATTTTCAAATTCCAGTGTGGTTGTGTGACTGAAAGTCTCCTAGTGATTTAGCAGGAGAGACATTAGTCATCAAAGTATGCGATAAGAAAGCATGAATGGGAGGCGGCACCCTACCAAACAGTAACCTGAACATGTAAATACAAAGGTTGATAGGCATTTCTGATTTTTATTGACTTCAAAATGGGGGAGCGAGGGAATACAAGGATCATTCAAATTAATAGGATTGCGCAGAAGTAATGGAATTGGTGTCAGTGTATCAATGTATGTGGCCTTCATCCCAGTTTGTGCCCTTTCAAGCATCCCACAGACTCAAAATGATCATTAAATATATACGTATCTAGTCCTTTCTGAATTATATTCTTCCTCTTGTCTTTTAAATCAATATAGGATGTCTGTGTTTAGCCAGCCTTGTAGGGGAGGAATTGTCTGAAATCGAATGGAAAGAAATTGTAGCAGCAACGCCTCTTTCCTCCAATTCCACCTACCTGGTCCCAATATTTTGAATAATACGCAACCCCTTAAATTCTGCCACTTGATTAAGAATAAGAAGCCTAGAAAGCGGGGCATAACGAGTTGATAGGCTGCTTTGAAAACATTCTGCTGCAGCTCTATTTATTTCTTAACAGACTGCAGCCAATTCCTTCATCAACCGAGCCAACGTAATGAATGGTTAATTTGAAAATACTTGGCAATGGGGATGAGAGTTTTATTTCAAGAGACCCCCCGAACAGGAAAAATCTGGATTTTAGATTTGAAGGGTATGTATTTGCTTAGTTAAATTGTTAATGTTCTTTCCAGCCCTAACAGCTTAAAACTATTCTGAAAAGAAGTTGTCAGACTAGTTGCAAACATGAATACAAACAAGCCATGTAAGTGTCCATTGGGCTGTGCAAACAAAGCGAGTTTCTATCATTATCCTGTATCCAGTGCTTTAAAAAAAATGTTTAGGGGTACTCTGATTTTCCTGCTCATATTGAAATGCTGCCCCTCATTGAGGCCAAACTTAGATTCAGAAAAGGTTTTGGGGTCTGCGTCCCTCCCCCCCCCAGAAAAAAAGCTCTGTCTGCATCCATATTGCAATTGCTAAGGCTGTGATCCTAAATGCACTTGCTAGGGAGTAAATTCACTTATCACAGTAGCCCTTGTGCAAAGGATTGTTCTGTGGTAACAGTTATGCCATTTTTGCAATGTCAATGCACATATCTCAGATCTCAGCTTTCAGTTCCTAAGCAAATGCAGTATTGTTACAGTTCTATGCTATAATCCTGCTCCAATGATGGGAGATGACGAGCAATGGAGGCGACCGCCAGAAACCCAAAAGGATATAAAGCGCTTACAGTCTTATTTTCTTTCCCGTTTTCCTTCACCGAAAAGCCAAAACCACTCCGTCCCTTGGAATTCGTCAGTCTTCCCCTCCCTTCTTTAATTTCAAAATGGGTGCAGATTTTTTTATTCACGGAAAGGTTAAAGGCGTTTCCCTTTCGCAAGGGGGATTATCTTACCAGAGGATTCTGGGACTGCAGATGTACACTGCGGCAAAATCCTAAATTCATCGGTTAAAAAAGAAGAAAAAGAAAAATCATTTCCAGACCCCAGCTGTTTAAAATAATAGAATTATAGTAAATCATTGATAAGATTAAAACATAAAGCTCTTTTACACTCCAAAGCGTCCTAAAACACTGGGCTTTTTCTCTTATTTCATTACTTAAATAATGCAAATTTTAAAGTAGCTTTTCTATCCCGAGCACGCAGCGCCATGAAATCGATAATTTTTGATCTTTTGGTTAGTAGGCAACATGGTGAGCTATTGCGGTGACTGCAGGCAGCAGACATGTTCTTGTCAGCTCCAAATTTTCATATTGTTTTTGACTCCATGGAGACTTGTCGATGGGATGCAGAGCCAGTCATATCTTCACGCTTCCTACGTCGCTGTAGGGGTGTTAAAATAAATTTTAAAGAGGCACGGTTTTACGTACCTATATACAAATGTAGCTCTATATTTTAAATAATAATAACAATAAAGATTTGCTGGGTTTTTAAACAAAAAAAATATGTAAAAATAAAAATAAAAGATTGGCTGGTGTGATTATAATCACATCATGCAAGGTCCACGGTTCCTATTTAGTGAAATTGCGCAGAGGGCAAGTTCTTAAGAACATCCCTGCTGTGCAGAGTGAAAAGCATGAACAAACCAAAGACAGAATTCATCTGTGTTTATATTTTACAGACAATGAAAAACCTACTCTTTGTATGCCTTTTTCCCTCCACCTTATTATTTCATGAAAACTGCAGCATTTCCCCCCCCCCACCCGAACACTCACACACACACCCAGCATTGCAGTCTTTGGGATTTCTTTCTTTCTCCCTTCCCCACCTTCTATTTTTCCTCGCACAAATTCTGCACGCGCCATCTTTGTCTATTGTTATCCTTTTCTGATGTTGCCCAATCCCTCCCTGAGTCGGTTAATAAATGGAAGGTGAAATGCCTGACCAAAACATGTTTTTGTTTATTTCCACGCATGCACAGCCCGGAAGCCGGGAAAAGGGGGACCCGCCCCAATAATTTTTCCTCGAGACTGCCGTAACCTGTTGTAGACAGTGGTGCTGGAAATATTAACATAATAGCAACAGCTGCAGCCTAAATAGAAGCTGTGAGATAATTAATGTGCTACAACAAATTAATTTGCTGCAGGTGTGTGAGATCTGAACTGTATAACCCAAGCCGTTTCCTCTTTGAATATAATTATGGCCCCCCACCCACTCTTGCACCAAGCAAAAAATAAAATAAAAATTAATGCAGATTTAGGTGTCCTGCTATTAATACCTCATGTGCCTCTGTTGTCAAGGTCCACCTTCCCTGAACGTTTTCATCATTGGTAGAGGACAAAATTAGAGGATTTTCGGCCATCACAGAAGTGGGTGGCATTTTTAAAAGTATTTAAAGAGACTCAATATCTCCAGCCTTGAAGATAAAACACCTCTTAGCTATTCTTGTTTTTAAGATCCTTGCCGGTAATGGCGTTGCGCTGAGGCAGAGGAAGGACATTGGGAGGGGGGGGCGTGCGGCAAGTCCTTCTCAGTGGTAGCTGAGACAAGTTCAGATGCCTGAACTTCCATTAGGAGACAAAAGGAATTTAAAGTCTGGTAATCTGAAGCTTAAGAGGGACACGGGTGGCGCCGTGAGTTAAACCACAGAGTCTTGGAGTTGCTGATCAGAAGGTCGGCGGTTCAGATCCCCGCGACGGGGTGAGCTCCCGTTGCTCAGTCCCAGCTCCTGCCAACCTAGCAGTTCGAAAGCATGCCAGTGCAAGTAGATAAATAGGTACTGCTCCGGCGGGAAGGTAAATAGCATTTCCGTGCGCTGCTCTGGATTGCCAGAAAACGGCTTAGTCATGCTGGCCACATACCCGGAAGCTGTACGCCGGCTCCCTTGGCCAGTAAATTGAGATGAGCGCCGCAACCCCCGAGTCATCCGCGACAGGACCTAATGATCGGGGCCCCTTTAAATTTAAACTGAAGCTTGTTATTATGGCCAGATGATGTGCCATTCAATACAGCGAGGTTGGGTACCGAGTAAGCATGTTTTGGGTTGTAAACTGTATTTAATTCTCCATGTGTCGAATCTGCAAGGGAGCCTCTGGTGACAACTGCAGTCGATGCAGAAACTGGTTACTAGTCAATTACCTTATGGATGGCCATCACTGAGGCAACGCAGTAACTCAAAAGCGTACAAAAGCTGAGGTGAAGGGAAGCTGTCGTGCCCAGAAGCAGCTGCCCATATTAATCCCCCAGCCAGGAATGCAAAAAAGAACAGCTCTCTTGTGCATGTTAAAGAAGCACCAGCCCAACTTGCAGACATGCCTACTCGGGAGTAAGCCCAGTGGGACTTGCTCCTATAAAAATGGGTATACCACTGCAGCCTTACTGGACTGAAACTTTTAAGAGGCTAACCACATCCTTGGAAACTTAAAGCTCAAATGTTGCTTTCTCTTGGCGAATGTTTTCTTAATTTGATTTTGCCTTTTAATTTTGCTGCTGCCACGTGCTGCATTCCAAAGACAAGCTGCACGACTAAAGCAAACAATTATGTACTATGTATTTTAAAAGGTTGCTCTGCCTTACAGTGTTAACCTTGAGATGTTTCTTCTTTGATCTAAAAACCAAAGCTCTGTGCGTGCCTATAGGTTCCGAAAGATGTTCTAAACTTAATTTCTTGGGAGCTTGATTAGATTTCATTAGTGGTTTTGATTTAACTTCACAGTGATCTGAATATCAGGGGAAGATTAGCACCGAATCGTATTTTTTTTACATTGCAACAGTTCCAGTGGCGTAATTTCTTTCCAGCGTATTATGAGGACTCTGGGTGAATGATGATCATTCGCTGATGTTCACCAATATGGTTAAAGTTGCAGTCTTAAGCAAACCTTTTCTGAAGGGCAGTTGCCCCCATCCCAGCCCCTTTGCCCACACAACCATGTGCTTCACTTCCCCACTGGTGTCAACGATGGAGCAGCTCTGCAGACAGATCTCCACAGAAGGTTCCTCTTCTCAATATTGAAATGAGAATTTTTGGTCCCTTTAAAAATCAATGAGACATAAGGCCCCTACCTTAAAATGCAGGCCTGCCCAAGTTGTGTCTACGCAACATCCAAGAGCCCCCAGGTGTTTGGGAACTTAATGTCCCTGCACCATAGCTGTCAACGTTTTCCCTTTTTAAAGGGAAATTCCCTTATTCCGAATAGGATTCCTCGCAAGAAAAGGGAAAAGTTGACACATATGCCCTGCACCAGCTAAAGGGCAAAAGATGCGCTTACTATGTTTCAGAATAGAATGCCTTACTGGGTTAAGGCATTGGAAATTTAAAAAAGAAATCAAAATTTGAATGCTAATCGTCCAATCCTAAAACATGCTGTACGCAGCAAAAGTCTCACACTGATGCTTAGAGAGACCTATCAGTAACAACTGAGAATTGGGGAAGACGCATTTAAAAAATAAATTATTTACTGAGCATTGTATTGTTGTCAGGATGTCATCTTCAGACAAAAGCCCCCTTCAGATGAAACAATTCCATAAGATAATGGGCTAAGGAATTGGTCAAAGCAATTTTAATTTATTTAATGCACATGCCTGTTTAATGTCCCTAGCATCCATGGCGTTGTAGTTTTCTAACATCTATTCCATGGTACGTTGCGTTATCCCCCATCCTCTCTCTCTCTCTCTCCCTTGGCGGAAGGTTTTTATCTCTCCCTTTTCTGATACTATATAAACCTTTGTGAATTCTCCGTTTCTGCAGGAAATTCCAAACCTCTCCCTCTTCATCTCTGCTCAAGGCAACATATCTTGCTTTGGGTGCCGACTCTCTGACAGGATAGGATCTCCATTTTCCAGTCAGCCATTGACTAATCCTTACTTGTCATTGCCTTTTTTGTATTTCTTCTCCTTCTTCGTGCCATCCTGCCGATCTAATCCTTAAGCCCTTAATCGGACCAAACTTTCATTGATGTCAGCAGCTCTTTTGTCTGGATAACAACTGCCAAAACCACTCCCCATAGCTGCACCGCTCTGGTAATATTCGTAACAGGGAGCTATAATGTCTGCATGAATTTTTTAAGAAGCCTCCCATTTACTACAATGAAGAAAACTATATTATGTTACATCCAGCACAGGGGGGGAAATGCCGATAATTTCTTCTTCTTGCTTCTGAATTAAACACATTTGTTTGACTAAAAAAAATGTGTTTCACTGCAAGAACAGGCCA